GCCTGCGTGCGGCGGGAAGGGAGCGGCCGGCGAGGGAAGGTCTTGGAGGAGCTGAGCTCGGCATCACGGCGGGGAGTTAGGGGCCTCCCCGCATGTGATGCGTTACAGCTGCTCCGGCCTCTGCGAGGCAGCGGGCATCTCTCCCTATCCCCTGTGGGAGAGGGAATGGGAGGATGGGTCCTGCTCTCGCTCTGTTGCCTGCGGCCCGGAGAGGGGCGATAGATAAGGGAGGAAGGGATACATTCTCATCATGCATCAGCATCCAGGGAACCCTGAACCCATCACCACAGCAGCCTCCTGGCTCCTTATCTGGTTACTCCTTAATAAAGGCCCGAAGTCTGTATGTGCCTGTACATAAGACTTGGTTGGAGCTAGGCATAAAGCTGTGTATAGTGTGGTGGAAAGACAAACCTGTGCTCTTGTTGTGCGTGTTTTTTTTGTGTGTGTGTGTGGTTTTTTTCTTTTTTTTTTTTCTTATATGTTGTTGTAGGATAGCTTAAAACTATCAGAATGCTGTTGAAAACAGTAGGGCCATGAAAGACAAAACTAGTCCCTCAGCATTCCCTCTTCTTTCTTCCTTTTTTTTTCTTATAAAGAAAAGTAGGATAGCTTAAAACTATCAGAATGCTGTTGAAAACAGTAGGGCCATGAAAGACAAAACTAGTCCCTCAGCATTCCCTCTTCTTTCTTCCTTTTTTTTTTAAAAAAAAAAAAAAAAAAAAAAAAAACTTGGGCTGACAATGGAAAAGAGAGATTGAACAGTTAAGCTGAAATTAATCAGTTCTGTTCAGGTAACCCTCGCAGAAAGTAGAAAAGCTTTAGCATCCCTGTGTGTTTTTTGTTGTTGTTTGTTTGTTTTTTCCAATTTGGTAGTGACTTTTTAGAGGTGTGGGAAAGCTAATTTGTGTATATTTTTACCGTATGAAAAGAAATGTCAAGAGAATATGAAGGTTAACTAAGATGACCACAGACAATGACTATATAGCTATCATTACCTGTGTCTCCAGTACAATAAACTAGCTTATCTCAGAGCAACTCATAATATGCATAATTCTTATGAACCTATGAGATAGCTATTATCTGTAATTGGAAGGTCATGAATTTCTTCTGCTGTTGATTCACTTGTTTAACCTACTGCTTCATTATGTTCCAATATAAACAGGCTTACACGTGACAAATTTTTTTATAATCGTACCTGCCACTGCCTTGAATGCTTCAATGCCACCTGGGAAAGGACTAACAGAAAAAAATGTCTAATAGGAGTACCTATCACATAATTTTGTTTAAAATATTTAAAACAGCAGTATCTAGATAGCCCAGTATAAAAAAGTTTAAAGTAGGTAATGGCAGTAACCTCAGTGTTGTGTAACTATTCTAGATACTGTCTGCACTGAATTTCAAACACAGTCATCCAGAAGCAGTCATTTACCAACTCTGATTTGCCAGAAACTTGAAACTTGAAAGCATAATTGTGTCTAAAATTCATTCAGTCATTGTAGAAACACTGTTAGCTGTCTTAATCCCATTGGTAGGCTGGCTTTTGTTACTAGTGATATTTTGGTTCTGGTACGTTAGCTTTCTTGTAGTTTCAAGTTGATTCGAACGCTTCTGTGTTTAATTGGTATGAGACACTAATTTGAACACTTACCTGGCTGAATAGATTCAATTTGTGAATTATCGCATTGAATCGTGAGACTGTAGGTGATGATTTATATATTTGTTTCAACCTCAAGCATAAGAAAATTCGTATGTTGATCTGTTAAAATGTCCATCAAAACACTTCCTTCTCTTATATAAAACTTGACAAATGCCGCCTAGCCACATAAAAGTTCCTTCTCTAAAGGGATTGTGAGAAGAGAATAAACCCAGCATCTGTTAAATTAATTGACAGGACTAACAGGAGTATTTTCCTAATGATATGCCCTGAACTTTCTGGCGTTTAAGCATGGAACTGCTATTGTGCTGGGGGCTACTCAAGAGTGAAAATTCCTACTTAGCAGAAGGTCCCTTCATATTGTCGTAATAGACAATTAAGAGTGCAAAATGATCTTTAGTAGCTTTCACAGAATGATTGAGGTTGGAAGGAACCTCTAGAGATCATCTTGTCCAACCCCTCCCTGCTCAAGTAGGGGCTTGAAAATGCTCAAGAAAAGGAATAAATTCTGTCATTTCCATACATATTAAGCTGTTTATCTATGAAACTATGCATGGTGTATTGAAAACCTTCAGAAATTGAAGGACTTTCCTCAGCAGATCTTTGTATATGTCATTTATTTACATTACTCCCTTAAATCAAGCTTTTAAACCTAATGACCTAATATAGGTCAAACGGTTGTATACTTTTGTGTAAGTGATTGAAAGTGTCTTGCTAAGGCTTGCTTTCTTCACGTATTCCAAAAATTAAAAAGATTATTCAGCATACAAAACTTAAGCGGGTACTATATCTTTTCCTGGAGACTTTCATCAAAGTTCAGCATAGGTGCACTACACTGGTGCAGCTGCTAAGCAGTTAAATGATTGGTTGGAAGGCCATTTGTCAAAAAGACTTGAATTTACAGTCTGTGTGTTTGGGATACCAAAAGTACTTTTCCTTTATTCCATGTGTGTTTTGTTTTCTTTTTATGGTTCCCAGGCTAGTATTTTACAGATGACCTGAGAAATATGAACAAACATGGCCAGAGGCTAGGAGATTGTATGGAGGCTGTAGCATTGCAGACTACTTTTAAATACTTGTGAGGTGTTATTTTCAGCAAACAAATCTGAAAAGAACAAGCAGACAGTATTTTGTAATGACTATATGCCAAGCTGTAGAGCTGCTTTTCCTCAGATTAAGAAAATATTTTTGTCTTTTCATGTTTGGTTCCTGCCATGTTCCAAACTTATGGAACAGTTTCAGTATTATCTGAAATTCAAAGCATGATTTCCACTTAGGCTTGTGGAAGGTGATGATGAATTTCCTGTATATAAAAATGAGCTGGGTATGCTTTAATGTGTGGGGTGTGTTATTTGTGTGTGTGTGTGTGTGGTTTTTTTTTGTTTGTTTTGTTTTGTTTTTTTTTTCCCCCAGATGTGTGTTTTTTCTCCCAATCTGTTAAAAAGTGAGTGGTGTGATTGTGGTATTTAGTATTAGATATATTAATGTAACTATTAAATGAAGGATATTTGCACTGTGCTTCCAGGATTTGATGGTTTTGCAGGGAGAGTAATTGCTATTGACTTGATAACTGAATAATTTCATGTATGATATCCGAGTGTTTAGGGTGATCGATGAAGGGTGAGAGGTGTTATAAAGCTGTCAACTTAAAGGTTCCTCAGGTAAACCTATAACTCCTATAGACTGGACAGTTTACAAAAACTGAATTACATGTGCCTTGACAGCCCAATTCAACTGTTTTAAAATGATCTATACTCTGAATTACTCAATGGCCAACTGAAATGAATAGGTGGTGCATGAATTAAATCAGTCTGAGCTGTTTTTCTGGAATGCCTGCTTTTGTTTGTAGTAGTCTATACCATAGAGAGGAAGCAAAAGAGTAGCCAGAGAGAGTAGTCAGAGTCCTCACTGCACAGCGTATAGGAGTCACTTGCTCACAAAGAGTGCTAATCCAGCTGTCATTAGATGGCTTATATGACTTCATTAATGCTGCAGAGCCTAGAAAGATGAATTAAGATGAAGGTTTTTAAAATTATTTCATGATTGTCCAAACACACTATAATGCTGCAGTGCAAGCAGAAGTATTGTATGTTTAAAACAGAAGTAAGTTTAACAGTTGTCTTCCTTTTCCAAAGTTTGTAGAAACAAATGGATAATGCTATTGTGAACTGCCTTTGTTTTCACTGTATTTTAATGTTTTCTTTCTTGTAATGTATTTAAGGATACATTAACTGTTGTCATTCATCGATTTTTATCCAAATTGATTAATTTGGATAAACTTCTCGATAGCATATGAGCAAAATAAATAAAAATAATAAATCTTGCCTGAGAACCAACATACCAGCTGTGCACCATTCTTTTTTATGCCATAAGGATAAGTGGTCTGGTATTGTTGTAGAATAACTAGATCCATTCTTGTAGTGTAAATTAAATTTTGTTTAAAGTTTTTAGATTGATGGGAAAGAATTACACTTTTCAATTATCATAGTAGTTGATAATAGTGAAAGATTTTCAGGGGATTTTTTTTTGCCTCCAACTTTTGTGCCATGCTTTTTCTTCCTTGTGTTTGTGAGAACATATATCTAAAATTAGATATTTTGATCATGTTGCAATAGGGAAGTAAATTCTATTGATTTAATGATATAATTGTCAAACAGGACAGAAATTCAGGGCAGACAGGGATGAATACAAGATTGCAATATTCTACATGGAAGATGCTAAATTATTTTGAGGTATGGGAAAAGAACAACATAAGAGAGAAAAATATATTTAAGATACCAGATAATATTTTCTTCCTAAGCCTCTATATTCAGATTCCTTTTTACAATGAGAAAGGAAGTACTAGTTAAAGTGTTTTGTGGGTAAAGAAATAATTCTGTGGTTTCTTTCTGACTTGATGTGTGGGAATCGGGAGTTCAGGTAGAATTTTTTGAGGATAGATATCTGCTAATGGTGAAACATTCTATGGAGCCGGAGAATCTTTTATTAATTGTGCAAGACTGGTGTTGGATTTACAAAAGGATAGTTGATGAGTGGAGGAGTAGTGCGTGAGCTAGGTGTTGTACTTAGTTTTCTGGTGGCTTATACAAAGTGCTCTGGGTTTCCTACTGTGCTGAAGGCAGTTCAATTTGAAAGGCTTTGTATCTTCTCAGAATATGTTTGTTAACTACAATAAGTATGATTTGTACATCAAAATACATTTTCTTTTTGTAGTAAAGTACAGAAGGTCTTGATGTGCGTGATAGAAGGGGATTGATAAAGCATACTTGCGAAGAACTTGATATACTGACTCAGTTTCCAAATTTACCCAGAGATTTTTTATTGTTTTTCTTTGCTGGTGCTCACTTATGAATAATCAAGTATTGCTAATTAGGAAAATTCTGTGGTTTTTTTATTTATTTATTTATTTATTTTTACCTGAGATTTTAGCTGTAACTTGCAAGGCTGAATTTGTTGTGCTGTTATACTTTGATTTTTGTTATGGTATGAATTGAGAGCCTGAGTCTTGCAACAATGATTGGAGTTTTAATGTCCTAATGAGACGCTTGACTAGGAAGACTAGGTATGCAAGAAGATTACTGATTTTTTTCACAGTGACAGTGACTGTACTCTGGGCCACTGACTTTGGTGGTTATTAGGACTGGTTGCGTTGGTGTTGCATTGGTGAGTTAGATTTTTTCTTATTTGGCTTGTGAATCTAATGCCGCCCACTATCTTTTCATAAACAGGTTGTTACTAGCAGAAGCACCCCTGAGCTTTGCATCCTGGAATTGCTTTCAAGAACTTGAAACAAAGGACTTCTTTCTAATTTGGGCATGGCTAACCGAGGAGCAACAAGACCCAATGGGCCAAATGCTGCAAATAAAATTTGCCAGTTCAAACTAGTACTTCTAGGAGAATCTGCAGTTGGCAAATCAAGTTTGGTGCTCCGTTTTGTAAAGGGACAGTTTCATGAGTTTCAAGAAAGTACTATTGGAGGTGAGAAAATTTTGCTACTGAATCGACTTTGTATTGTCCTTTGCCATTGACAGCCTTGAATGTAATGTCAGGTCCAGGATGGGTCATTGACAACAAGGATTAAATTTGAGAACTATGTCTTTAACTGTGATCTGTAAATATCTAAATTAAAGGTTGTAGTTGCTATGCAGCTGTAGCAAGCATCCATGTCACATGGAGAAAGTAAATGTGTGTTTGAATTGCATAGTTTTGAAAACTGGGATTGATTGATGTTAAATTTTGTAAATGGATGTGTAGCTGTTCTAATAGCGCTGTTTACTTCTTGAATGAAATCACTGCTTAATAAGAAAAAAGAACTAGGTTTTTATAAAAACAAAGTGCTTTATCTTCCAAAAAGGTTGTATTGTTTTATACAGTTTGACTTTGCTTGTGAATTGAGAGAACATGTTGCTTTTCTAGATGCACTTTTCTTTGTTAGCAGCCACAGGAATAAAAGTGCTGCCTTTACATTTTATAACTGCAAACAAAATGGTTCACTAGAATGCAAAAGAAGTTCCAATTCCACAGTGAACACACTTTTTTGTTTTGTTGTAATTATTTTTTCATCGGATGTTTCCTTCTGTTATCTTGTGTGTTGAAACTTTGTGCTTTCTGATCTTTTTCCTCCTTGATTACATTTGAACTTCCCCTAAAACCACCTCTTGGTATACAAACTTAAACAGATACAGATTTTATAGACTGGTCAGTGTTTCCTAGTAGTTGCTATTACTGCTTGCATGAATGAGTCTGTGTTCCATTGCCATTGTATTATTTATGTGAAGCCCTTTCAGTCATCTGTAGGTATCTTTACAGATGAACAGTGGTTGAAATGTAAACATCTACATAGCTTAAAGAAATAAAAAGGACAAGCTGAACTTGATTGCATCAATTTTTTTACATTGTGTTTAGCTGTTAGAATGTTAAAAGTTATTTGAAAACCTTTGTAAAATTTCAGTGATCTCCGATTCGCTTCCTTCTTGCTTTTGCTTTGTTTTTGTATCTTTGTTTTGTATTGATAGAGTAAGGGATAATCTAAACCCTATTTGATTGTTTAAAAGCTGTATAAATGTTAAATGAGAACTTACATCCAAGTTAAGATACATGGTTTGTTAAAAACTCTGTATTAACTTATGCCCTTCTTTTACATAAAATGAAAGCAAGGAAATGCGCTTTTATAAGCTTAATGATAATAAATGCAGGTATATTGGAGTTCAGAAACTTTGTTGTTCAGAGAAAATAGTCTTGTTCGATAGCCTCTGTTTCAGGAATGCTTTTCTTTATATACAGAAGGATTTTTGAACAAAGAAGAGCTTATGTGTATTGTGAATCTGGATAAAATAAGTGGAAGAGTGCAGTTAGGCAGGCGTCGGCAATGTGATGCTGGTGTGTATGATGCCTAGGCTTGGCCCCTTTGGCCTACGGTAGCAGTGCTTGTGACTGGCTTATGAAAAAGTATGGCTGGTAAGATCTATTTGGTTTCAGATAATTAGCCCAGTGAATCAATTAGTTATCAATTAACTATGGTTTTGTGAGATAAAAGAAACCTATTTTGTTTACATAAGTTGGTTACTGGCATTTCTGTGGTGGCTGAAAGGTTCCTTTCAGCAAAAGCAGGAGGATATCAAAGAGTAAGTCCCTTGTTTTGATTCTCTTTCTGAATATAGTCCTTCATTTATGGAGTGTAGGTACTTTCTTCTGTTGAATCTCTGTAAGATTTCAAATTCCACTTGCTTAATGTCTCATTTTTGTCTTGGCGGTATTTAACGTTGAGATGGTTCTGGGAAGGAAACCCTTATTCTGATGCAGAATGTTGGCTTGGGTGTGCGGTTTTGTATTGTTTTCTGGTGGTTCTTGGCTGGTTAGGGAGCCACCAAGAGGAGGATGGTTTATTGGAGCTTAGGTACTTGGCATTTAGAGAGAGTTCCAGTGCTTTAACATTGGAGCATCAAAGCTTTTTCCCTTCTCCAGCCTGCCTGCTCGTGTCTGATGGATGCCAATACCACTGAAGCAGGAACATCTGACCACTTTCTAGGCAGTTTTGGGATGGCAGTTAGTTTCCTTTGTAAAGCAAGATTGGCTTGCTTTGGTTTACTGCAATAAGTTGGATTGAAAGTCGCAGCAGTTTAGAGACTGTGAGTCACTCACAATGTCTTGGGGTATGTGGGCAGGGTGGTATCCCAGGTATGCAAGGGTTATGGACAGTGCAGCTTCAGACATTTGATTTAAATATGCTACAGTTTGTTGGTATGCTTACTAGTGAGACCCAGTTCTACAAAGCAGGAGGCTTTTTTAGCATTTCATCAAAGCAGGAGGTACTAAAAACAACTTTCTTCTCCTTTATAAAAAGAGCAAGCCAGTCCAAAGTATCATTTCACTAAATGTCTGTTATGATTGGATAAACAAGTCCAAGCATTTATGCTGATTTGTTGAAAATTTCTATCTAAATTCTTAAAGGTTTTTGAAAAAACCTTGTAGAAGGAGATCTCCTTGCTTATTGTTGTTTTCTCCCAACAAATTCTTGAGACTGTAACTTATTGATAGTAGGGGTTTCTATGTTGTATGGATACTCTCCTCCATTTTTCAGTCTAAATAGAGAACTTGTACTAGGAGTAGCTTTTTGAACATTTGATATTAATTGCTTACTATTTTCCATAATTGTCATTTTTTAGGATAGTGACAATTATGTAGATAAATGCCTTCAGTTTTCATGGCAATGGATGCAGGTTCTCTTGAAACTGCAGGCTCTGAAAAATATGCCGAAATAAATTCTTGAGGCGACTTAGTGTGAAAAATATGTTTATGTGGCTGCTTTAAAAGCAAGAACTTTCAAGAAGTTACTCTTGCTTCTAAATCTCTTAACTAGGATTTATTGTGAGCTGGAAGTCGAGGATTTAAGATACAGTGAAGAACTGTGTATACTTGCATTTTCTGAGTATCTAAGCTATTGGAGTATAGCAGGGCAAGATGCTGTTAGTGGTGCTTTATGTTGTCTGTTACATCTCTATGTAGAAGGCTTGAGGGAAGCTTTGGGTTGATCAGGTTCACTATTACAAAAAGTTTGAGGATTCTTTCTAATTACTTTTCCCTTTAACTTGAGGAGAGACCAATTATCCAAAAAGCTATTCTGTGTAAATTAGAATTGTTCGCTAGTCACTAAAAACTTTGATAGCGTCAGGCCCATTATATTTTAATAATAGGCTTTGAGTGTTTAAGAAAATCATATTTCATATATCTGTAAACTTAATTTTATATGAATGTGCAGGTATAAACAGAGTTCTGTTTTCAGCACCTCTGTCTTTTTTGTAGCTGCTTTTCTAACCCAGACTGTGTGTCTTGATGATACAACGGTAAAATTTGAAATTTGGGATACAGCTGGCCAAGAGCGATATCACAGTTTAGCACCTATGTACTACAGAGGAGCACAAGCAGCTATAGTTGTATACGACATTACAAATGAGGTAAGTACAGTATAGAGAAACGAAGGGGGATCTAGAAGTTAGTGGACTTGAGCTGGATTCTCTCACTGATTCTGTCACCAACTTGTGTGAGTCAGTTCATCGTTTTGTACTGGTCTGTCAATGTTAAATTCTGAATAGAAACCTTTTTTGCCAAAATTGAATTTACATGATTTTGTGTGTTTAACAGTTTCTTGCTGTTTACATTGCAGTATGAAAGAGCTACAATAAATGAAAGAATCCAACTGGTGGGGAGTTAGCTTTGCAGAACCACTGAAATTGTCCATGGGCCTTAGAATGTTTAGCGGTTGAAAGTGTTTTTGACTTCTCCAGATGTTTTATTGTGCTGTAACAAAAAAGAGGCTGTGTCTTAACTGACAACTTTCTACATAGAAAACTTGTATTTTTGATGAAGCAGTGTATGTTGTCATTATTTAGGAACCAAATATCAAAAGAAGATTGAAAAAACTGGTTTTTGACCAGTTAGATTCTCAGTCTGCTGTGAGGTACACTTCAGTGTCCTTTTCTTCAACAGAAACATGTCTCATCAGAACAAATTATGCCTGAGCCAATAATACGTGATAGTAGCATATGCATTAGTAATTGTCAAAGTGTACTTTAACTAGATTATGATGTTAGAAGTGAAATACTTTAATACTTATATAGCTATAAGCAATGCAGCTTTATTTTATTTTTTGGTACAGTGAAGCTTTCTATTTCATTATATTAAAGCAGAGATGCACATACTTTTGGAGACTGGGCTATTTTCACCACTTGTATTAGTGGGCCATTATGCACTTCATTTCTAACTGGGATGACTTTAAAGGCACTATGTTCTACAGAACCTTGCACAGTCTATAAATGAATGGCTTGAAGAGCATTTTATATAGAGAAAATTCTTTTGAAATCAGTTCCCTAATTTGTGCTACTTTTCTCACCTTACTGCTGGGGCAGTTTATTTCTGATAGTGAAAAACACTATTATCTTATTGTTAAAAGTTACAGGTAAGGATTGGAAAGTGACCACAAAGCACTGAGATCAGATCTTAGGCTTATCTGTTTTATTTCTGTTTGAGTCTAGGTCAGATAAGTATACTATGATCTTTCCTACATTTTTACCAATTTCTTCTGGTAAGATGAGACTTAAAAACCTAAATCCCCAAACCCTGTGCCATAATGCACTCAGTAGTCTTTCAGTGTAACTGCTCATAAACTTGACTCTGCTGTGGGACAAATTAAAATTCCCATTCTTTTTTAAGCATTACTCCTTCCTTGTGGTATCTATATAAAAGCCCTCTTAACTTTGGTTACTTTTACACTATTGTCCTAGCTAAGCACATTTGTGCAGCAAGATAGGAATGCTTTGCTTGAAAAGCTCACTTGGCAAGCTGTAATTTGCTTCTCGACAATGGCAGCAGCCATTGTATTGATCTATTGCTTGAAGCATCAATAGCAGATATTGGGATAATAGGTCATTTTGAAAGGATACTAAAACTCAGCTGCACCACTCTGCAATCGTTAACAGGAGTCCTTTGCCAGAGCGAAAAATTGGGTCAAAGAACTTCAGCGGCAAGCAAGTCCCAACATTGTAATAGCTTTAGCAGGAAACAAAGCTGATCTAGCTAACAAAAGAGCTGTGGATTTCCAGGTATGTATGCATAGCTTCTGTTTATAAAATTTTTTTTTTTTTAAAGTGCTTTGCTGGAATAAAAGTAAGCAAGCCTCCAGGAGGCTTATGTGCATAGTCTAAGTACTTATTGTAGAGGTAATGCTGTTAAATGGAAACATATACAAATTATGTGTAGTAATATTTTTAAAGTAATTAAATTTGACTTTGAAGAATAATTTATTTGCATATCTTCAAGGCTAATAGAAGTTTTGTTCCTTGATATGAGCTCTTCTTGTCTTCCACCCCAAATTAGCACTGGGACTGGTAAACAGTATCTAGAGTTCAGATTGAATCAGCATATGGTATAAAGCTGGTCAATACCCCAAGCTTGCTTAGGCTATCCTGTGGAAGCAGCATTCTAAGTTTTAACTGTGGTGTTCATTGATCTGTGTGTTTTAGTCGATATACCTACATCGACTGCTACATTTCATCTTTTAGAACATTTATCCAAGTAATTAGAAAATGGCTGCCATATCAAATAGAAAACTCACTGCAGATGATTCTGGTCCATTTATGATTGAATCTGAATAAATTTTCTTAAGATCAAGGGGTTTATTTGTTAGTCATCAGTTTTCCTACTGTTTTGATCTATATTTGGCATTGTCATGCATGAAACTGTTTTGTATAGCAGTGAATCGTAGTAACTTTTTTGTGTATTCTCCTAGAATTCAAGAACTTGTTTTTCTAATTGTATACTGTCAGTAGCAACACAAAGCTGTATTTTAATATAACTTCATATATTATGAACATTTACAGTAATTTATAAATTTGCACATGTACAACCTCCTGAAGCTTAATCAAATTCAATTGGTTAGGTTCCTTGACCGAAATAGAACTGGTTTGACATAATTTTCAAGTATTAGTGTTTTTGTTAAGGTGGCCTGAAGTTCAGAAGAAGCCTATGACCTTCTCTATTTCATTGGACAGCACTTCTGAGACTTCCAAGTGTTCGTTATTATGTTATTTCAGATATTACATAGATCTTGGTAGATGTCATTTAAAAGAGTACAAAATAGTGTGGATGATAACACTCTTTTGTCATAGCTATAGCTGGGGTTTTTTGCCTCTCCACTATTGAATTCAAAGGTAGTGACATAAGGAGTAGGGATTTTTAGCTGAGCTAGATATTAGGAAGTGACAAAAAAGGGACAATTTGAGTGCAAAAGTGTATTTCAGACTGATAGAGGAGCTAAATGAAAAGATATTTAGTACTGTTTTATATAATGAATTTCTGTAAGAATAGTGGAAGTGTTTTGATAAATCTGCCTCAATGGTAGAGAGTTTCAGAATAGCTCACAAACTGCCTTCTTTCTTGGGTGACAGAGCTTTTGACTTTAAATGACACTTTCCAGGGCATTCTTATTCTCGTAGCCAGAGTCATGGGTCAAGGTTTAGTTAGTAATAAAAGCTTGCTTTTTTTTTTTTTTTTTTTTTTTTTTTGCTCTTGGCTTTTTGATATGGATATTTTTAAGATAAGTAAAGATTGAGTGCAGTGTTAAATGTTTAACTATTGAATCTTTATTATAATTTCATAGTTATGAATAGGACGTTGTCATCTAAGTGTTTCAGCAAACTTCCTGTCAAAATGAAATAAAATTGTCACTTGGTAGCAGTAAGAATACTGTAGGTACTAATAGTGTGATTTAAAGAAAATGAAGTAATGCATTCTTGTTTTAACTTTCAGGAAGCACAGGCTTATGCAGATGACAACAGCTTATTGTTTATGGAGACATCTGCCAAAACATCTATGAACGTAAATGAAATTTTCATGGCAATTGGTGAGTTTAAGAACAAAATTGCAACTTAGCATGAATCGCAGGAAAACAATTTCCCTGTCCAGGACGCTTCTTGTCCAGGCTGTTTTACTTTCTCACTTAGTCTTTCAGCGGCACTGCTTTGTTGTTGTTTTGGTGGGGTGCTTGGTTGTTTTGTGGGTTTTTTTGTTTGTTTTATGTTCAAAAGTCAGATAAACTTCCTTGATGCACAGTTCAACAAGATTTAGGTATTTTCGTGGACTAAATTGGAACAACTGAGTGAGATTGCTTTCAAATTTAGTTAAGGAAGTTCTGTTTATGTGTTTCAGTTCCATGATCACTTACGCTGTTTCAAGTTCAATATGTTGTTACTGGGGGAAGGGCTACTTTTCCCATAGTATAGGTAATCATAAACATAGCTCTTCTAAGCATAGAATATGTTTAGGATTTGTTTATCAATTGTGAGTTTATCAACTTATCAGTATGAGAATGGAAGTTAAAGTGTATAAACTTGTTTTCTAAGGGTACACTGGGTAAAGCAGATAGCGTGCTGGCCTGTGCCGAACCTAGAATATTGTAACTTTTAAGAGGCAAATTGAACTGAAGCTGAAAACATTACTTCAAAATAGGAGAAGGGTAATGGCCTTAAGTCAAGCATACTGATTTTAGTCTAAACCGAGTATTTGCTAAATATGCTTTTGTGTTTAAAATCTTAGGTGACTTCCAAATACAGCAATCTGAAATCCAAAAGTTGTGCCAAAGATGAATATGTGTTTAAATTTGTGTGAAAAGTAAATGTGCTAACATCAGATTTTTAGCCTTTACATAGCTTAGGGATTTCTGCAAGGATAATGATATTTAATAGTAAGTAACATTATTAAGAAAAGAGTTTTATATAAAATTGTAAGATAGAACCATTGTATTGTAATCTGAGTGAACTTACATTTTTCTGCTAAAGGATACATTTTGCAGTCTCGCCAGTTCATCTAGAATATAAAAGTATTACAGAGCAGATGATTCTAGATTCATAACTGCTTGTATGAAAATGTATAAAAACTCATTCAATGGCCATCATGTCTATATTTTAAAATACTTTGGGATATGCACTGTATCAGCCTCATAAAACTTACATTGTGTGAATTACATTGATGCCCAAAGTTGTATTTCATTATTAATAAGTATGAAAGCAGCAGAAGAAAGAAAACCTATCTTTTTAGGTCGGTCCATTATCCTATTTAGCAATAACCTTAATAAGTATATACTTGTCATAAATGCTTGAGGCAGGTTTGCACTTAATAATATACAAGTGCTGAATTGCAGTGCATGTGCATTTTTAAATAGTTGTTAAACTATTAAAAAAAAAAACTCATGTGATATTCAGGATGGCCTTTTGCACAGCACAGATGCAACTGTGAGGACCCTATATAAATAAGATCTTCAAAATGGGAGAAAATGAAAAATGAGAACATGGACGGAAGAGAGCCATGTAAGCTGCAGTTGCTGCAGGCTGACTATTTTAGAGCTTGCGTAGGATTTCCAGTTAAAGAAATTGCTCTTAATCTCTGATTTTACAACTCAGAACTACAGTGCTGTTCTGCATTGTTCTGCTGATGCTCTGTCTTTTTGTACGGTGTGAGCAATGATGTGTACTCTGGATTTCTCCTCCATGAGTTAGTCCCTTGTAGTCTGCCAGTCTTACTTCTGTCTGCTCTTACACTTCAATTTTACTCCTTTTGAGGAAAAATCACTCTTTATTAAAGCTGGCCTCTGTAATTACTTAAGATTCCGACTTTGCAGCCAAACTATAGGGCAGGGATACTGGATCAACAGAACATGGAAGATTCTGTCCCATAGAAGTCCTTTCCTTCCAGGTCCTGTTATGTAGAACTTAATTCTCTGTTCATCAAAAACCTGCTAGAAAACTACTACTCAAGAAAGGAAAAATCGTCACTCTTTTTTCCACTTTGTCAGGATGGAGAAGGTAGCCTAGAGCTACGAGGATGGCAAGGAAACAATTGCAGTCAATTGGCTCATGGGGGCTGGAGAGAAAGGCCAGGAAAGAGAGATGTAGTGTTGAGGGCCATTTTATATGTTCCATGCAAATATGTGTTCTGGCTAGGTAGCTGAGTATCTTAGTTTTACCTCTTTGTCCGTTCATTCCTTTTGTATTATTTAGCCCTAAAATCCTGATTTAACAGCCTGTTCTGTACTTCCCAGAGAAGTCACTTCCTAGCATGTCACACCTGGACTTTTTCCTATTCGTGTTACTAATGTGTTTTTGTTCTTAAAAATGATATATTTTAGCTAATGATTAAGATGATGTGTTAACTTTTTTTTATTACCAACACACTGTTCAGATTTTTACAGTGATGATATTGATACTCTTGTAAAGTAATGAAGTGCTGATAGGTTGTGTACTCAGTTTAACTATTATTTTGTATTGTTTTTATAGCAAAAAAATTGCCCAAGAATGAACCACAGAATGCAGGCGCCAGCTCTGTCAGAGGAAGAGGAGTAGACCTCACTGAACCCACTCAACCACCCAAGAGTCAATGTTGTAGTAACTAAAAGATCAATTGCTTTAAACTGTTCTCAATATTCTTCTGCTTCCTAACTGTCAATAACAATGGAGTTGGAGTGCTTAACCAGGCCCAGTTCAGCTTCCAAACAGCGAAGAGACTTATGATAATAGTCAAGTTTATGATGCAGAATTTTCTTTTGACCTTAATTTTAACATGCATGTGTCACTGGCTGTAATGTTCCAGCAGTAGAGAAGAGATGGAAGTGGAATAAACTTGCTTCAGTTGAAAGGTTTTAAAAATCACTTGCCATTAGGGATATAGAAGAACTGTTTTCCATGGACCTAATTGGCCAGTTCCTGTAGCTCCAATACTGGTTACTGTTATAAAGAATAGAATTGGGACTCTTCGTACTTCTCAATTATGCTTTAAAACCTTTTTAGAAACAGGATCTAAAAACTGATTAAATTTATTCAGAGTATTGATGCAACCAGTTGTTTCTGCAGGTATCCTCTGTTTAGTTATACATTCCATAGTTTAATAATTTAATTACAAATATATTTGCATTAACAATTTTAAGAACCTCATGCTTGCAGGAAGGTGGAATTTTAGTTGGTACACTGTATGTAAATTTTTATCAACCCAGTTAGTTGTCTAAAGAAAATAGTGATTAAATCAAGTTTGACTGCATTTTTAATGTGTTCAGAAGGTGCAAACCAGTAAATTCAATTTCACAATATAGGATTTTTTTTGTCTACAAACCGTAAGAGCTCTTCAAGTAAAACCACAACAAACTCGGTGTCTGTGACTTCTTTCTGTGTTTTGATCATTGCTGGCCATTACAGTTTCTTATGTTTCCTGCCCTCCTTCCCCCTCAAGGAAAAAATAGTGCACTAACAATTATGTACATTCAACTTGATTTTAAATTTGGATATTAATGTACTGTAAATAGGGTACTCTGCATTGTAGTCTACATTTGTTTAATACTTTCTGTAATATTTAAGAGTTGCTTAAAGGTATACAGAATGTACAGTTACTTAAAGCTAACTTTTTTCCTCTCTAATCAAAGGGGGTTCTAAGTTCTTCCTTTATGGCTAGAACAGTAATTAATGATGCTCCTGTATCTGTAACATAAGTACTGCTGTCTGTCAGTAATGAACTTTGCAACTTTGTTTTCCAAAGTACATTTTATTTTGATCTGTCCAGTATATTGCACTAATTCTTTTAGTTATTTTCATTATATGAAATCTACCAAGTGTGTCAGAAGAGATGAATTAGCCTATTTAAATGTTGAGCTGATAGCAGAAACTTACTTGTGCAGATTTTAAATTTGCAGTAATCTGGATTTAGCAAGGAAAATAACAGTTCACCAGTGTTTAGTTTTATATTGAGGTGCTCAGGTTTGAATAAAGTGGTTAAAAAAAAAAAAGATTTGTGATTAGTATTTCTTTAAGTTTTAGAAGCTTTTTTTTGCATTTGCACAGTTCTAGAGAAGGTGTCTGATTTCTAACACTGAATTGGCTATGTGCATCTTTATTCAAGGTGGTCATGAGCAACTCCATGGCAGAATATAGGCTTGTAACATATGTACACACCACCTACTGCATGTGTCAGCATTTTAAATGTTGACATAATTAGGTATTTTATCACATCCGTTCAGAAGTACGATCAAAACGGTGACGTTGTCCCGTGAGCCCGCAGCTAATGCAGCCCGTACCAGGTGCTCGCTGACGTGGCCTGCTGCCTCGTTGTAGAGTGTCGCAGCGGGGACCCTGCCTCCCGCGGCCGCAGGGGCGTCGCGCCTGGCCACGGAGGCTCCCGTGCCCTCTCCAGACTGCGGGGTTGCTTTGGAACCAGCTGTCAGCACGGTCTCTGCTAGCGGTTGACCGCTATAACTCGCAGTTTTGTCAGAAAATGTCTTGGAGTCTGCGTGTTCTGCTAACGTCGCATCTGAGGCACAATTAGAAAGGCAGGGTTTTGTGTTGTCGTCGGGCTGCTTTGTTTCTGTAGTCTCTATCGCCAGTGCGTTCATCTCCAGTTGGTCAGTGTGACTTGGACCTCTTGCACGGAAAGTGTCTAAGACTGTGTCATCTCGCCCTGCAGTCTGTGAAGGGGGCTGAAAACTGCTACATAGATGGACTTCTTGGTCCTCAGACTGCTTTGGTTCTTCAGAGCCCCTTTGCTTGCTAGAATCAGACTGTCTTACCTTGCTGTTCTGTGAATGTGTTTCCTTGTTGCTGAAATGAGATAGTTCTGTATCAGCTTGCGTTCTGTGGTCATCAGTTTCTTTAAATTCATCTTCACTATGCAGATAGCTGCTCCTAGAAAATCTTGGTTCATTTTGTGCCACATTGCCTTTTGAGGTGGCAAGAAAAATATCTGTATTGGACTGCAATATCTCTGCTCCATCTTGTTGATCATTAGTAGCTTTCGAGTCACTTAAGCCTTCTTCAGAGACAGGCATCAAACATTGACACTTCTGCAGAGGAGTCCCATTTTGTTGAATGCCTCCATACATTCTCAAATAATGAGTGAATGCTTTTAGTGTTAAAGCAAGTACTTCATGGTAATCCAAAACTTCCCAAAGCCCATTGGAAGCTAAAATAAGGAACTGACAAGAATCATCGATGGGGACAGAGATGGTGTGAGGAACAGGTATAACAGACTTTTTTAGTACTGGATCTCCATGATGTCCAAGACCCCTTGTGGTTCTCAGATGCCCTTCTACTAACCCATCTGGTTCATTACGGCTGATTTTGCCACCACCCTGTAGTATGCGTTTTCTCTCGCGTGTATTAGAAGTGCTGTGCTCTTCTGAGAGGCGATATGCTTTTCCATTTTTACATAAGACTGCATGTATATTACCTAAAATAAAGAATATTTTATAGCAGATTGATTTTAATAGATATTGCGACATCAGTATTTAGCCTTTTGCTAAGGACTGTAGAAAACGGAGGTCACAGTTGAGTTTTCTGCTATTGCAGATGATCCTACTTCCATCAATGACTCTTTCCATTTTACAACAAGGTTTTTTTATTTATTTATTCTGTTATTCAGAAGGCTATTCCAGAGCATCTTTCTTCTGGCTGTAACTAAACTTTTATGACAAATCTAAATGACATTTCACAGATTAAAGTGCAAACTGATAGAAATGTTGCAACTTGACCGGGTTGTAAGCAAGAGTACATAAAGATGATGTCAAGTAATCTTTTCTCAAATACCTTCTTCTGAGGGAATGTGTGCTTTCAAAATGTTACTGCTGAATTAAGCCATCAAAAAGTCTGAGATTTGGAATATTTATAAAGATATTAAAAGCTCTAGTATCTACAAAATAATTTGAACATAATTTAGAGTTTACAGTTTACTAGCATTAAGTCTTAAATTGCTTTCTCAGGTTAGTGTGCCAAGGGAACAAGAATTCTTGCAGTACCCATGTGGAGTCAAGGGCTGATTTCCTACTGTGTTTTTCCATCAACTCTGTTGAAATCTACAGAGTGAAAAGTGGTTGAAATCAGTGGTGCGCTGCAGAAAGAACAAGTGGGATAGTAGCTTTCTAGATACTGTTGGCCACAGTTTGCTCTTTTATATGGTATTTTAAGTATTTTCTGGCTTGATTTGAGTACAGATCTACTTTGAAAGGATTTGTAGATAAGCCCTGCTTATGCAGCAGTTATATTTTCTGAGAAAAACTGCCACGGTCTAGTTTAGGAAACCATAGGTAGAACCATAGGTAATCTGTACTAAGGTAAATTTCTCTAGAAGGTAATTCAGAGTATCACATTGAAGTATACGTTTCCTCAATGATTATAGAATGTGAATACCTTTAATTTATATATTTCCTTACTGTTTTCCTCTCCACCTTTCTCTAGAGGAGAGTTGAAAAAAGAACTGGAAATATGTCCAAAATTTCCTACAATCATTCAGATTAGAAAACCAAGTTGGAAACTTAACAAAGGATATAATATAAAAGAGTCATCAAAAATAAGCTGAACGTGGGAGGAAATGAAGAAGGAAGTTCTAAGTTCATTAGGGGTAGAAGGTTAGATGTGGCTGTAATTGTTTTTATAATAAAGTCTGGCAGGCATTTCCCAGAATAAATGTACTATTTCTGAAGAAGGGAGAACCAAGTGTGGCTTGGTTCATGCGACAAACTGCTCTCAAGACTTGGTAAATCAATAATTAAAACTTAAGTCTGTAGAATCTAAGTCAGGGTTGTTTTCGGAAGTTTTCCTTCCCTTTGCTTGCACTGATCTTGCTCCACTCCTTTCTCTGTGGCAGTATGTTTGTGCTGCTGTGTAGTTAACCAAGTTGAGGAAGAGAAATGGTTAAAATTTATGTATATATACACATTATTTTTCTATTTTACAGGTTATAAATCAGCTGGGTCCATTACTTGGCTTGATTCATTATATAGCTACAAAAATACTTGTTGCCAGCATAAAGTAGAGCTATTATTCAACAAATGTTAGAAGAACGGAAAGGGCTGTAGACCAGTTATTTTAATGGCAGCTCATGTTCGTTTATAGTCTTCCTCAAGCTTGTACAGATTTACCTGTCATTACTGTACACAAATAATAGATTTTTATATATGAGGTCTGTTTTTCCTTTATAGTGTTTTTTCCCTCCTAGAGAGATGAAGCTGTCTTTTAAATTTTTATCTCTTTCCTACTGATCTTTGACCATCATGTTCAATTTTGAGGTCCAATGTGAAAAAGTTTTACCTGTTTTCACAAAAACCTGTATCTGAGGAGGAAAGGTGTCTGTTAGTGCCCCTATTAATTGAAAGTTGCAATGTAAGTACACTCCTTACTAAAAACTGAGGACAATAAAGCAAAAAAACACTCTAGTACTGGTGAGATGTCTAAAGTACAGACTGGAAGATGCTGGAGAATCTAACCGTAGACACAAATCTACTTGAAACTATTCACTCATCACCTTTTTTTTTTATATATGCTTTTGCTTGTGTGCTCCTTTACAGGAAAAAAACTGCATTGCTTATAATCCCAGAAGTGTTCTATGGGCACAGAGAACTTAAGTGGTAACAAAAATCAGCTACAGCTACGAAGAACTGCAAAAGCTTTATCCAGTGTGCTGCCTGCAGCAGAGGTGGGGGGGAAGAGGGAAGTATTGGGAATGTGTCAATATTTTTCTTTACAAATAGTAACAGATTTTCTTCCCTATGAAATGGGAAAACAAGATCCCCCTTTACAACAAATAGGGCTGAGCAGAGCTTCTGTAACAGCAGGAACACACAGGTGATTGCTGTGTCAGTAATCCCAACAAATAATGTTTTTAGTTTGCTGGTAGCGGAAGATGATGGCACTTGATCTTAAGGAACGAATGAGTAATAGAAGAAAATATCTTAAGCATTGACACAAGGGATTTATCAGGCCTAAAACTAGAAGATTTATGATTGTTTGCCATAAAACAATGACATCTTAAGTCTTCCTCTTTGGGGAAAATAATAAAAAAAAAAAAGCTCCATGTTTACACAGATCACTTCTATATTACAGAATATTTCTTAATTGCACCTTTCATATTAGTAAATTGACCTTACTACTCTTATCTCCAACGTTGCATCCACATATCCTCTGCCAGCAAATCTCTAATTTAGCTCATTTTTTTCTCTTTTTACTGGATGAAGGAAAAGACTCTCCTCTTCCTTTCCTCCTTCTCCACCACCTTTTCCTACCGTGAACACTCACACACTCAAAAAAAAAAAAAAAAAAAAAAAAAAAAAAAACTTAAAATGTACATACCAATATTGGCAATGTGCAGTAACCCAGCAACACCTTTAGAGGTCCTGACTAATCGACTGTGCCTATGTTTTTCTAAAGATTTCCTTTGTATCTCCTCAGTGCTGCCTGTCTCTTCACTGTGAATTCTCTCCACCAAACAGGTAAGAATTGAACAGCCACTCCAGCGAACTTTGGAAACTTCATTCCTTCCTAGTTGTAAAAGTCTGTCCATTCTCCAGAAGGACTTGGCATATGCTTTGTGAATCCATTTGTAAGTATTTGGCTTGTTGGTCTTGTCATTGTCCTGCTTATCGGAGAAAATCCTCTCTTTCTCCCTGTAATCTGCTGTGATTACTGTGGAAAAAGAATCTAGAATTTTCTGTTCCTCCATGCTCTTCTTGTAGGAGGAATCTACCTGAGCAAGTTGGTCAAGAAATAAAAGTGGAAGTTCTGCTGAAACTGCTTCTGCAGCTGCTGCACCATGATAGCCATCAACTAATCCCAGAAAACATGTGTCTGACCTACTTCCGTAATTGTCCAGTACGATGTATCTGTCTTCCATGTTTCCTTGCCAAGTGGGATTTTTATCTTGGCAAATTGATAATGCTTTTATTAAAGAATTTTTTACATTAAGAGTGCTAGAATTGTTAATGTTATCCAAATCACAACATGATGAGTAAGTCTGCTTATCTGTAAGGAATTCAAATGAATAATCAATCTTCTGCCTACGACTCTCAGAATATCTAGGGAGCTTGGTCAGGTTTGAAATCAGTTCCTGTCTCCGAGCTAAAAGTGTTTCATTGTCTGTCTTTGTCTGTGGGCTGCTGTAGCCCAGACATCTTAGGGCTGAGTGCTTTTTTTTATGATAAAAAAGATGATGTGGATATATCGTTTGTTGACATATTGAACAAACAATTGAAATGCTCTTGGGATCTACATTCTCGGGCAAAATCTTGACCTTCTCCAGATGATCTTCATTTCCAGAAAGTTCAAATTCAGATAGTTTTGATTTATCTTCTGATTTTCCTCCCATGTCATTCTACAAAAGAGTTTAGTATGTTATGATTTTTTACCATACTATTAGATAATACTCATGTTACCCAAGCCTTGTTCTCATTGTCTATATTATAAACTCTACATTACCATGTACTAATACATACATAGTCAAGAAGCTAGAAAATTGATGTGGGATTATATAATAATTGTAAATAAATATGTTAAAAATAGTAACACGGCAAACAAGAACAGATAAGTTTAGAAAAGCAAAGTTCATAACACAGCTTGGATGATTCTTGTGGTTAATAGTCTTAGTCACTTTGTTTCCTCTTTGTGATTCAACACACAGCGCTGTGCATTTGCATTATTAAAACCTCCAGTAAAAATAGTTACTCATCAGCTTTTCTATATGGTATTCATCACTACCCAGACATGGTAGTGGAGTGTAGTTCTTACAAAAAGAAAAAAAAAAAGCATATTTGGTATTAATCTTTGATATCAAGGTTAAAAAATGCAGACCAGTTCTGCACATGAAATATGCAACAGAGCCAGACGGCCAGTTCTGCACATGAAATATGAAACAGAGCCAGAAACCCACATGAAATATGCAACAGAGCCAGACGTGTTGTTATATGTACCACTTTATATGAATTCACATCCCACTCTCATTGCTATCAGTTGTAGCTCTAAGGACAGTAGGTGTCAAATGGAAATCCCACTCTCAGTGGATCTACTCTCACAGTGGATCTCACTGTGGATCCCACTCTCACTGCTCTAAGGACAGTAGGTGTCAAATGGAAAAAGAAATATTACATATATGTAGACACACAGAATAAATTTACATTAACAATATTCTCTTGCTTATGAGAGCTGGACTTTGCAGTGTTAATATTCTTTTAATGTAGAATGGACTTCATGTGTCGCTTTTCTAAGTTAAACACAATATAAATCAAAAAGATGATCAAATGGGCCAAGTGGTATTGGAACATTTAGATCTATAGGAAATACCCCTGCTCCTTTATCTGACAACAACTGCAAGTAGCAGCTATATGCCTAATAGCAGCTTTAGGGTTGGTTCTCTGGTGGGATATGTGCATGTAAAGACCCCTTCTGTCTTCTCCAATTAGTAGGAAAGGAAGAACTCGGAACAAATTCTGCTTCGGGCTTGGAAAGTTTGAGTATGAACAGTTAATATCTGGCAGAGTTTTAAGTTACTGGAATCATCAGGCAACCCTATTTGTAGGCAGCGCTAATGATTCTCCCAAGAAACATGTAAATAATGTGCAGAGGAAATATCAGTGCTGCTTAATGAGCAGATAGAATTGACGTTTCTTGAATGGCTGCTGTGTGTACCATAGTGTGATATACAGCTAGGCAATATTGCTCCATGCATAACATCCTCTCTCATCAAGGTAGCACTTAACACACATGAGTGTGCAGATGCCATGAAGATGTAAAAGTCTTGATGAAGTGTGGAAAGCTTAGCTATACATCATCTGTCCACTGACTAGGCAAACACAGTGCATAATATTTATCTGTATATAGATGGGAAATATTAAATAAGCTTGAGTTTGTTATGGGGCTTTATTGCAGTCTCTTTTCAGAGATTTCTGTCTCTCAGATAATCTTTGTAGTGGTGTGGTAAGAAATCACCTTCACCCGAGCAAACAGCCATGGTGTAGACGCAGTATTACCTCACAGCCAAATTACAGCAGTAGCCTTCGATAAACTCATCCTGCTCCCATCTCATGCATTTTTTGTAGCTATCTCTTTACAACTGATACAGCCACACGCTCTGTAGTAACTATTTTGCACCTGTTGCCCATGCCAGGAGTTCAGCTGGTAAGCACATTTTCTTCTAGCTATTTATAACACTCTTCTGGGTTATAAATATTGCCATGAGCTGTTTTTCAAAGCTTTAACTTATTTCCTTTGACAGCAGTTTAACAAAACTCCTTTAACTGTTTTAGTATTATGGAGACTTAAAAGACAAAAGCCCCAAGCTCCTCCAGCTCCGCTTAATTTTAAGGAATCAAGCAAGATTCATTGAGGTAGATCAATTATAATTTTTAAATAGAAAATCTTTTCTGTAGAGAGTTATATTTACTGAAGTATTAGCAAAGCAAGTAAAACCCTTTATCACAGCGCAGTGTTCTTTGTCCTTGCTGAGACTACCTTGCAGTGAGCTACAGCTCTCTGAAAATTCATCTTTCCACATGAAGTGAGCATCAAGTTTCTCTAGAAATGCTGCCTCGCTTTAGTGGGGTAAAATGAGCAGACACATGAGGGGGAAAAAAAAAAAAAAGGCAAAAGATATGCTTGTGTGGATCTGTCCTTTCTTTTCCTTCATTCTGTACTCTCTGAATTTGAAACTGGGAGATCACAAGCCTTTTCACTCTGTCATGGCGAGTGCGCAGATGTTAAAAAACAGTTGAGTAAGGTATGCAGAAAACCTAATAAGCTGCTTTTCTTCAGCCCTTTCAATATGAATATCCATTTTATATTAGTGTGCATGACAGTCCCTTGAATTAGAGAAAGGAAATACAAGGAAAGAAATACAAAGGAAATAAAAAACTTTGAACAAAATGTTAATTTGGCTTCACCAAGCTTAATTCTTTATACTCACATGCATTATGATGTTTATATCTCTACCACTCGGTGTAAATGCTAACAAATCACAAGCTCAGAGTGTCAAAACTGTCCTAGTTTGTGATTCCTTCTCTCCTTGCTTTTACCTTCTCGAGGAAGATACAAACTTTTGTTGTCAGCTTGAGCAATAACAGTAAGAGATTGACATCAAAACATACAGAAGCTAAAGCTCTCAACTTTAGAGAGAGGAAGGCACAATTCAGCTTTATAGCTCCCTGCAGTTTTCCCTGTTCCTATTTAGAGAGCCAAAAGCTAGCACTGTTTACTCTTCTAAGCTAAAAATAGAAATAGAGGAAAGAAAAAAAAAAAAGACAAAAAGACATGGGGCAGGGGGATGCAGTTTGAGATTAGATGTGTTTTCAGGGACAAAAGTCATATTTGCTGTTAATGTCACAGAAAAGAGCTTCTTGGTCATGCTTCTGCAAATGGAAGGCTGTTTAGTTTCTGTGTCGTTACACAAATGCTCCCATGTACGCAGCTGGCAAAGCTGAGGCAGGACACGAGGCTGTAGGCTGCTGCCTGAAGCCACAGACTTGTGGCAGCAAATGCCACCATCTCGGGAAATCTTGTATTCCTGGACAACCCTGGCCATCCCTGGCACTTGGAGTTGCTTGGAGTGTGTATAGCAAGCAGAGCTTATTTTCTATGCCTGCAGTTTGACACTCCAATCTCATTCATTTAATTAAGGAAGCTGTCATCAATTGAGCTTCAAGGATCCAAAATCTGATTTGTATCCAAATGGGAGGGTCCCATATGCCATCACCTCCCTCTGATACATGTCATTCCTGTCCCCACCTGGGTGTGTTGCTTTCTCACCTACCTTGGTCACACTCAGCATTTAACTTGTGTTAAGTGCTCCTCCATAAGGTCTGTTTATTGAGCATTTGCTGCATGCTTATGGTCTTAGGAAGCAGTCAGCTCTTGGAGCTGGAGCTGGACCCTGAGGACGTGCCTGGCTGCCTGAGGGGGCAGGAGGAGGCAGAGAAGGCTGTGTGATGTAAAACAGAGGTCACAGTCTCCCTGAACTTGTCATCACAATTTTATCACTTAATAAATAAATAGGCTGCTCTGTTGCAAGTTCTTGCTGAACAGGCACCAATTTCCTCACCCATCAGTTTCTTTCTCTCTGCGTTACTCTCTGAGGTGTCTTTCCCTGCATCTCAGCCAGTTGTCCCCGTGCTTGTGTTGCTGCCCAGGCTGCTCCTTCCTTTCGCCTGCTGTTCCCTCCCTGCCCCTGTCACAGTCTAGCAGCGGCACCTCCCTCGAAAATTGCTAGTGAGTGCTTCATACCTCTTCCATCCGCATAGAGAAACACCCACCCGGTGTCACTGCTCCAGTTTCTCCCTGCACAGAGCTGGAGCTGATGCCGCTCTGGAGCTTGTACAAGGGGCTAGTGCAGGTGTAGTGGTTGAGGTGTGCAATGCACACCCTGTGTCACAGTCCACACTGGGCTTGGGCACATCTGCCTGGGCAGATGTTGTCTCATCAACAAGCCAGAGGGCATATGTTCATCTGGACCCAGTTTCACATGGTCTCCTTTTGCCAGAGCAGCAGTGGGGTCATGCCTGATGTGAAAAACTTTATTAACTTTTTTTTTTTTTTTTTTTTTAGTGCATGTAAGATCTGTGAAAGCTCTTCCACTGAAAGAACAAACTCACTGAACCTAGCAGCTATGTCCTAAACTTTCCACCAATTTTAGCTGGGCTGGATGCCTCAGCCTCCAAAAGCCTCTCAGGGAGTGATGCAAAGGCCTGGATGCCAGGAACCAGATGTCTTGTCCCAAGTGAGCCAAATAAGCTGAGCATAGCACTCTTCTTACCGTATCCCCAGAACCAGCAACGCAGTTTCAAGGAAGTCCTGTTATGAACAATGTGGGAGGAGATGGAGAGGAAGCTGGTGAGTCACAGGAGCGTGCCTTCAGGGGCGTCCGCCTTCGGGCCTTGGGAGCACTCCCATCTCTGGGCCCAATAATAGGCACGTAAGAAGGAAATGATTAATGATTAAAATAATTACGGAATAAATTTAAATAATTAGTCTCCTTATTTACCTCCATAATCGTTGTCCAAAACTGGAATCCTGCAATTCCAGGCCTACTGCTCTTGTGACAGCCTATGAAGTGGAAAGAGTTGCCCTCATTAGATCCTCGTAAGAGAAGGCAGTAAGCTGTGACATTGGGCACAGCTCTCAACTGTGCCTATTCAAAGGAGGAAATGGAACTACTAAGTAAAAAATAGGGCAAATGTCTTCCTACACCATAGCCACCAAGCAGCTGGGAGGGGTGGGCCTCGCACCATGCAGGCGACATGCAGTTGGGGGTCTGCAGTAGGCCAGGCCACTTTGTGTGGGGTTGTTCCTACCAGCGCATATTACGGTGGAGCAACATCTGTG